AAGAAGAACGAAGGTGGGAGAAGGTGGAACAAGGCAAGACAAGATGGGAAAAGCTGACATAAGCTGAGACAAGACAAGAAAAGATGGAAGAAGAACAAGACAAGATGGGACAAGAGAAGACAAGAAAGTACAGGGCTAGGTATAGCAAGATAGGACCAGCAAGACAAGACAATGCAGTCCAAAGTGGTACAAGATGGAATAACACAAGCTCAGAAAACAATATAAGATGGGACAAGTTGAGAAAAGATGGAAGAAGACACGAGAAAATGGAACTTGACTTGGCAAGATGGGAAAAAACACAAGACAAGATGGTGCATAGGAAGGAAAAACAAGAAAAGGCAAGATGGGAGAGGACAACAAAAAGATCGACGAGATAAGACGAAATGGAACTAGACAAGACAAAACAGGTCAAGACGTGACAGGACAGATGGGATTAGAGAAGACAAAACAAGACAAGACTAGATGGGACAAGACAAAACCAGACAATTCAAGGCGGGGTAGAGCAAAAAGACAGGATGAGACAAGAGGACAAGGAGAGAAAAGATAAGACAAGACAGGTCAACTGGGACAGGATCAAACAAGATAGGACAAGACAAAGTCCAATGAAACCAGAAAAGGTGAGAGAAGATAGGAAAGGACATAGTAAGATAGGACAGACATGACAAAAAAAACAAAAAAACTAAACGAGACGAGATGGAATAATGTAAGATAAAACAAGACAGATCAGGAGAAGACAAGAAGTGAAAAGGTGGAAGAAGATGGAACAGGAAGAACAAGACGGGACTAAAGAAGTCAAACAAAATGAGACAAGATAAGATGAAAGAAGAAGAGACAAGACATTAGAAAATGAGACAAGATGGGACAATAAGGAGAAGACAAGATGGAACAAGAGAAGACAAAACAAGATGGAACAAGACAGACGGGAAAAAATGAGAGAAGCTAGGAAAAGACATTACAGGACAGGACGAACAAGATTAGACAGGACAAAACATGACAAGATGAAACAACGGAAGATAAGACAGGACTGGACAAGAGGAGACAAACAAGGTGAGACAAGATGACAAAATGGAACAAGTAAATACAGGATAGGTTCGGACAGGAAGGACAGGACAAGAAGGCCATAATAAGATAGGACAGACATGATTGGACAATACATAAAGAGCAAGGCATTATGGGACATGAGAGGAGTAGAGAAGAAGACTTTCAACAAATCAGGATATCATTAACGTAAACAACACCTAATCTCTGCTGGATCTGAGAGTTATTCTGACTTCTGTGTCTTAGGGTTTGAAGCCTATGGACTCAAACGGACTCGCAGATCCATATGTTAAACTGCACCTGCTACCTGGAGCCAGTAAGGTACTTATTCACTATTTACCTATTGTTGTTTTCATTACAAGAACTTGACAGCTAGCTAAACTTCACACACCTGTACAATCTAAGAAAGCAAATGTGCCACCCAGCTATTTTATTTTATCAGTCTTTGATTTGATTGTCTGCTATTATTAAAGAAGGTGTTGGGCTGCATTTATTCAACATGGGATGCACTTAGATTATATAATGTAGCAAAATCCCATCAACCAATTGTCAAGGCATAAATATAAAAATGCAATTAATTTTAAAAAATGAGTAATCCGCTTGATTGCAGCCAACCAACTGATGATTAGATAAGCACTGTTGTTTTCAGTTGTTCCTCAGTTTCTCTTCTTACCTAAAAACCTCATTTCACTGTTTTAACTTCAGTCCAACAAACTACGCACCAAGACACTGAAAACCACCCTGAATCCTGTGTGGAATGAGACTCTGGTCTACCATGGCATCACGGATGATGAAATGTCACGCAAAACTCTCCGGTAAGATCAACCTTAACCCACTTTGCCCCTGCTGTTGTTCCATTTACATCACAATAAAAGTTGCTTCATAGAGCGTATGGTCTGTCTCCAGGCTGTCAGTGAGTGATGAGGACAAGTTTGGACACAATGAATTCATTGGAGAGACACGAGTGGCCCTGAAAAAACTGAAGTTCGACCAGAAGAAGAACTTCAATGTTTGCTTGGAGAGAGTGATCCCGGTAAGCCTGAGGGCCAAACTGACATCTCGTATAGCCACAGAATGGATCATGAAATGCAGTTTATTTGACTTACAGAGTCAGTTTACCCAAACCACCAGAACTGTGAAATTGTAAGAAAATTCTTGATTACAGAAATGGCTAGCACAGAATCATCTCTCCTCATCTGACTTTGAAGTGCTAAGAAAAGAGGAAATTTCTACATTCACAATTTAATTATGTGTCTGTCTGCTGATGAAGATCCATCCATTATCTATGCACCACTTAATCCTCACTAGGGTCACAGGGGACTGGAGTCTATCCCAGCTGACTTAGGGTGAAGGCAGAGGACACCCTGGACAGGTCACCAGTCTATCACAGGGCTACACTTAGAGACAGACAACCAAGCACACTCACATTCACACTTACTGACAATTTAGAATCACCAATTAACCTCAACATGTTTTTGGACTGTGTGGGAGGAAGCTGGAGAACTCGGAGAGAACCCACGCTGCACAGGGAGAACATGCAAACTCCACACAGAAAGATCCTGGATGTCCTTACTGGGATGCAAACTGGGGATCTTCTAGCTGCGAGGTGACGGTGCTAACCACTGAACCACCTCGCAGCCCCCTGATGAAGATCATGTGGTATCAAAGCAGAGCAGCTACTCAACAGACTTCACGATTAAATAGTTTTGCCAGCTACTGTTTCCATGCTTAAGATGTAACTGTGCACTAAGCACACATGACAGGTTGTGCTCATAAAAATGCAATTTGTTTGAATTCTCTATGAATTGAAAAACTTCTTCTGCTGGTGAAAATCATGTGATATGACTGAATTGTCATAATGACTGGATTATAGTTGTTTGTTTTTTCTAAATGAGAGTTATCTTATATCTTTTTTGTGCTAATTATGATGCTGTTGCTTCGCTTAACATTAAAATTGGAAACAGGGAAGATCACATTACAACAAGTCAATAGAAACAGCAAAACAAGAAAAAAAAATTCCCTGCACAAGTTTTTTTCATGTTCACTTGAGGTGGTTTTTAACTTGCATAACAGGAACACATTTTCTGAAAAAGTTCCAATGAAGAAAACATTTGAATCACACGACTGATCAGACTTCTTCAGTCTCTTGTCTGACCGTAATGAAACATGGCTGACAACCTTCCTGATTTAAAACAGCACTTCTCTAGTTTTCTCTGGTAGATGACCAAAGTTTTGTTTATTTGTTCTTCTTGAGCTCGCTTTTTTAGATGTTGGCATACAAAAGTTATTTGAAATAAGGCAAAATCATTTTCTTTTTTAAAAGTTTGGGCGATATTTCAAAGGTTTGCTTCAAATTTGCCTGACTCTTTACACTTCACTTGACTACTGTAAGGTTATCAGGCAACCAACAGAGTCCCAGACATTTCAGTTTTTGTACAGACAATATAAGAATTGTTATTTATAGGGCTTGAAAGGTACTTATGTGTTCTTTTTTTTTTTTTTTTTACTGTTATGATAGAACTGGGCTAGCTTTTCGCTAAGCTATCCAGCTAGCTATATTACTCCATATTTATGGCAAAAATAGGAAGCAAGAATACAGATAAGTGTGTATCCAAAAATGTTGAACAATTTCTATCTTGCACACTAAATTTTCTTATTTGACTTGATAATTTGATAATGGTTCAGGTTCTGGTGAAGATGATAATGTCTATTTTCTGCGCAGGTGAAGAAGGCTGTGGGAGGATCAGCTCGTGGCATGGCTCTCTATGAGGATGATGTAAGACCCTTACCTGGACCTCATACTATTGTGCATTAAATATTTGATGACATATTTTCTGTCAATTTACAATAATTAAACTGTAAACGTAGGTAGAACTCAGAATTTCTAATGATGAAAACATTGAAACCCACACGTATTTTTCAAAAAAAAAAAAAAAAGTCATGTATTTTGGTTCTTTCTTAGATTTATTACAGGTCTTCTGGAAGTGTGACAAAATCTGTTGGGTCAAAAATAAACATACAGCACCTTGAATGATCAGTTTTAGTGATGTACGAAGCTGTCCTAATCAAATTTTCCAGGTGGCATGGCTTCTTAACTTCTCATGAGTAATTACAATTGACTACAGCTGGTGAGTGCTCTGAGCCATTTGAAGTAGGGCCCATTTGATACACTCACTAGACTCAGCCACAGACTCTGAAAGTCTGAGGAGCTCAGCAAAGTCAGGAAAGTCACTTGGAGCAATTTCAAGGCAGCTAAAATCATCTATGCAAAGTTGTTTGTAAGTACAAAGTGTATGGTGCAGTTGTATCACTGCCACAATCAGGAAGAAAATGCAAACTGTCACCTGCTGCTGAGGGACGATTGGTCAGAATGGTCAAGAGTCAACTACAAATTGCCAAAAAGCAGGACTGCTATGAATAAGAAGCTGCTGGAACACAGGTGTCAGTGTCCACAGTCAAGTGTGATTTACATTGCATTGGGCTGAGAGGCTACCATGCAAGAAGGAAGCCTTTTCTTCAGAAACGGCTCCCTACAACTTAACTAAAGGTTGCTGCTGATGATATAGACAAAGAAAAGGCCTTGTGGTGGAAAGTTCTGTGGTTAAATGAAACAAAAAATGGGCTATTTGGCCACAGTGACCAGAAATATGTTCAAAGGAGAGACGGTAAGGCCTTCAGCCCAAGAACAACAAACCTACTGTCAAGCATGGTGGTTGTAGTATTATACTCTGGGGCTGTTTTGTTGCCTAGTTGAAGTAAAAATGGCCAAGGGACAGTTAACCAAAAAGTTTTAGCATTGCTGTATTTATATTTTTGACCCAGAATATTTTGTCATGTTTCCAGTAGACATATAGTAAATCTATAAAGGCGTCAGAATGCATGATTGTTTTTGTGGTTTACAAGGATTCCATCATAGACAATTCAGAGTTATAGGAGTCAATGGAAACTCAAGACTGCCATGATATGCATGGTATTATGGTATACTCTAACATTATAACANCAAGAGAAGACAAGACAAGACAGAACAAGAGTGACAACAAAACACATTAGAAGTGAAGACAGGATGGAGCATGGTAATACAGAACAAGTCCAAACAGGAAAAGACAGAGCAGAAGTCATGGTAAGACAGAACAAGTCCAAACAGGAAAAGACAGAGCGGAAGTCATGGTAAGACAGGACAGACAAGAAAATACAAGAAAGGAATGGACAAGACCAGACAAAGACAAGACAAAACAAGGTGAGCTGTTGGGACAAGACAAAACTAGACAAATGATGAACCAAGATGAAACAATACAAGGCCAAACATGTTTAAGACCAAAAAAAGAAAGAAAAAAGAACACAAGAAAAGATAGAAAAAGACATAGCAAGACACAACATAAAATACTAGACAATGCAACATCACACAAGACAAGACAAATATATAGGACAAGTAAAATGAGACAAGATGGAATAATGCAGGATGAAATAAGATAGGATGAGACAAAAGCAAAAATTAGCAGCAAAAGGTTGGACCAGTGAAGACAAAACATGATGGGATAAGACAGGAGAAGACAGGACAACAACGGATAGGACCGGCAAGAAGAACAAGACAAGATTGGACAAGCTGAGATAAAATGAGACAAGAAGAAAAGAAGATGGAACAAGAAAATCAAGACAAGATGGGACAAGTGACGACGAGAACATAGGACAAGACAGTGAGTCTTGGCAGGACAAACAAGACAAGACGGTGCAGGACAAAACAGGACACGATTGAACAATAGAAGACGAGGTGAGAAAAGATGGGACAGGAGATGAATGATCAAGATGGAACAAGACAACAAAAGATAGGACAAGATGAAAAAAAAAATGGAGCTAGACAAAACCAGACAGGACAAGATTAGACAGACAAGAGGTACAATTCAAGATGTAGTAAAAGCAAAACAAACCAGGACATGATTGGAACAGAGAAAACTGAACTTGATGAGACGTGGCACAGTGGCTAGAAGGTCATGGGTTCGAATCTTGGCCTGAGGTCTTTCTATATGAAGTTTGCATGTTCTCCCCGGAATAAGAGAAGACAAAACAAGACAAGACTACATGGGACAAGATGAAAACAGACAACACAAATAAAGATGGAATAATACAAGATGGCAAGACAGGAAACTCCAAAAAGAAAAAAAATGGGACAAAAAGAAGAACGAAGGTGGGAGAAGGTGGAACAAGGCAAGACAAGATGGGAAAAGCTGACATAAGCTGAGACAAGACAAGAAAAGATGGAAGAAGAA